GTAAGGAGCAGGACTATCTTCTACCAACTATAGAAACCATCATAAGCATTGAATGGGCTTGCCATTTACGTATGACATGTGTATACGTCTAAATAACATACTCCATAAAAATAATCAAAATTTATCGAGCGAAATTTGAAATATAATTTTTTTCTTCTGAAAAATCGGTAGCTCAGTAAGGAGCAGGACTATCTTCTACCAACTATAGAAACCATCATAAGCATTGAATGGGCTTGCCATTTACGTATGACATGTGTATACGTCTAAATAACATACTCCATAAAAATAATGAAAATTTATCGAGCCAAATTTGAAATATAATTTTTTTATCTGAAAAAAACCGTAGCCCAGTAAGGAGCAGGCCTATCTTTTACCACCTATAGAAACCATCATAAGCATTGAATGGGCTTGCCATTTAATTATGTCACGTGTATACTTGTAAATAACATACTCCATAAAAATAATCAAAATTTATCGAGCGAAATTTGAAATATAATTTTTTTCTTCTGAAAAATCGGTAGCTCAGTAAGGAGCAGGACTATCTTCTACCAACTATAGAAACCATCATAAGCATTGAATGGGCTTGCCATTTACGTATGACATGTGTATACGTCTAAATAACATACTCCATAAAAATAATGAAAATTTATCGAGCGAAATTTGAAATATAATTTTTTTATCTGAAAAAAAACCGTAGCCCAGTAAGGAGCAGGACTATCTTCTACCACCTATAGAAACCATCATAAGCATTGAATGGGCTTGCCATTTAATTATAACATGTGTAGAAGTCTAAATAACATACTCCATAAAAATATCAAAATTTATCGAGCGAAATTTGAAATATAATTTTTTTCTTCTGAAAAATCGGTAGCTCAGTAAGGAGCAGGACTATCTTCTACCACCCTATAGAAACCATCATAAGCATTGAATGGGCTTGATATTTACGTATGACATGTGTATACGTCTAAATAACATACTCCATAAAAATAATCAAAATTTATCGAGCGAAATTTTGAAATATAATTTTTTTCTTCTGAAAAATCGGTAGCTCAGTAAGGAGCAGGACTATCTTCTACCAACTATAGAAACCATCATAAGCATTGAATGGGCTTGCTATTTACGTATGACATGTGTATACGTCTAAATAACATACTCCATAAAAATAATGAAAATTTATCGAGCCAAATTTGAAATATAATTTTTTTATCTGAAAAAAACCGTAGCCCAGTAAGGAGCAGGCCTATCTTCTACCACCTATAGAAACCATCATAAGTATTGAATGGGCTTGCCATTTAATTATGTCACGTGTATACTTGTAAAT